TTGCTGAGGACACAGCTGCGCTGGGCAGGGCACGTCTCCAGGATGGAGGATCACTGCCTCCCTAAGGTTGTGCTCTGTGGTGAACTGGCCACTGGCTGCTGCAACAGAGGAGCCCTGAAGAGGAGATACAAGGACTCTCTGAAACAAAACCTCGGTTTTGGCCATATTGGCTACCATCAGTGGTCCACCCTGGCCTCCAGTCGGGAGACGTGGAGACGCACCATCCATAATGCTGCTGCCTCCTTTGAGAACGCACGTAGGATTAGTCTCGAGGAGAAAAGACAATGCAGAAAGAACCATGCCTCGCCAATACCGCCTAAGGAGACTTTCCACTGTGCCTTTTGCAGCCGCACTTGCCTGTCCCGCATCGGCCTATTTAGCCATCAGTGCGCTTGTAGCAAGTGTGGGTAGAGCCCTTCCCATATCTTCGTTCACGAAGCCTAGCCATGATGAAATATATGGGAGACGTGAAAAGCATTTCTTTAGCAGAAGAATCTCAGAGGATCTGTGGTGAGGACGGTCAAGAGGAAACATCTTCCTACAGTATTTTGAAGATGTGCTATGCGTTCTTTTATTAGGCTCTGCAGTCATAAGCCCACCACTAAGATCATTTGAGTTACGTAATCCTTCAAACTGTGCAGCTGTCTCCATGTGGACAGCTCGTAGAATCACAGAATCACTAAGGCTGAAAAAGATCTCTAAGATCATCCGGTCCAACCATCAGACCAACACTACCATGACCACTAAACCATATCCTGAAGTGCCATGTCTACATGTTATTTGAACACCTCCAGGGATTGTGACTCCACCATTTCCCCGGGCAGCCTGTTCCAATGCTTCACCACTCTTTCAGTAAAGAATTTTTTTGCTAATATCCAAACTAAACCTCCCCTGGCGCAACTTGAGGCAATTTTTTCCTGTCCTATTGCTAGTAACTTGCGAGAAGAGACCAACATCCTGTCTCTAAGCAGGGATTTTTGGAGACGTGGTGAGACTGTGACAGGCTGGGCATACGTGGTTAACAGCATTATGGTAAATGGAGCTTAAAGGAATACAGACGCTTTCCCCACCAACTTGTTGCTTTGGCGGGCTTCAAACAGCTGTTATGGACCATTCATGTTCATGTCCTTGGCAGGTGGACAGTTACTAGGGCTGCTCTGAGTCACAAAATTATTTAGGTTGGAAAAGACCTTGAAGATCGTCAAGTCCAGCTGTGAACCTGGAGATGCCAAGTCCACCATTAAACCACATCCCATGAAGCATCTTAACCAGTAGCTTTGTTGTTTCAGTGCTACTTCTGCTAACACTCTTACCACAAGCACCTTCTTGCAATGTTGCGCAAGAATGCAATACCTGATTGCCTATAGGGGCTTCAGATTAGGTCAGAACATGAGAAAGGAATTGCAAGGAATCACCAGCATAATGGTGAGAATGATCATAGAAAAAAGACTTTCAAAGAACAAAGAAAAATAAACCAAAAAAGAAGAAAAACACGACTTGCCCCTATGTTATTTAAGACACAGTAATCCCATAGTAACGAGGGTAGTATTTTTCTGTGAAACTAAAACTTTTGGATTTATGGTGTTTCTTTTAGCATTCATTTTGATGTATTGTCTTATGCAAAAATCCCCATGAAAACATAATAAATCCTACTATATCAATATGCAGATGTATACTAGATAAAAGACGTGTAATAGGTTCCTCTGAGACATATATCAGGGACATAACAGAGTTCTGTTTTTCACTATCAGAAAGACTGTGATGGCTGAGGGTCCCCAGGAAGGCATTTGATACAGAATGCTGTCTTTCCATACTAAAAAAGAATATTTTGTAAATGAAAGTGACAGTTGCTAGCTGGTTTTTTTGTTTGTTTGTTTTATTACTATTTTATAAGCCTAACCACTCTACAAAGTTCAAAGGAACCTCTCAAAAAAGCAGAAAAATATGCTCATCTACTTCAGTTTCACATATCTGCAGGGACTATGCAACAAATTCTACCATACTAGGGGGAGCTATGGGTGGCCAGTGCAATACAGGGAGATCACGGTGACCATATAAAACTGAAAGAGGAGAAGAGGGTGAGATCTATAAGTACATTGGCTCATAGGAACTTCCATCACAGAAAGGAAACTGGACTGGAAAACTGACTGGAAAACTGCTGATAGTCCATGGTACAGAAATGATGGTTGCTTAGGCTTATTAGCCTGTTTACTTGCCTCACATGTGGTCCCTCAAAATGTGAGGAGAGAATAAATGAGAGAAAGCATTGCTCAGTTGAGTTTCAGGTGCAATCTGAAAGGAAAAGAGAGCCAAACCTCCCAAGCAGTGCAATGGGAGGGCTAGAATGTGAGGCTGAGAGCTGTTTGCAGTCAAAATATTGCTCAGGGTTGGATGTACAACCTGACAAAATGTCACCCGACACTGATCCCTGTGTTGCAGTTTCATCTGATGATGGCATCATGGTTGTAAAGGACAATGCTATGATTTGGTACCAACACAACCATGAGGAAGGGCCAGAGCACTTCAGCCTCTAATCACACTGGTGAGCAGCTCTGGGGTAACTAGAAGGTGCTGGCTTTGTTGGTTTTCCCTTCGCTCACCACAGAGAGTCCAGCCATTAAATTTTACATGAACATTTTTGTCGCCTTGATTTGTAGACCTTCTGGTCTATAAGGCTTGTGCTGCCATTCATCACTGAGACCTTCTCAGGCTACTTGACAGCACCAAGGGGTCCTGTGGTCCCTGGGACATCTTCTCCTGAGGAGCAGATGCTTGCCTGGGTTTGGCTCTTTCTCTTTGCTTTGTACTTTGCTAGTTCTTTTGGGACTCTTTTTGTTTTCTCATGAGGAGAAACACAGCTAGAAAAACAATAATTGACAGCCTGTTTACCCTAACCAGGGGAGAGGAAGCTTTGTAAGGAACAGAGTATTTGCTAACACAAATATTCCGTGGGGTTTGCCATGGCAGAGAGACAGGGAGGTCTCTGCGTCTGAATACAATCCTGCTCCTTAACTCAGACACGGGAACGCAAACCAGAATAAACGAAAGATGAAGCAACAACCCCACACTCGCAGCTGAGCTTTGTACCTGGTCTTGTCACAGCAGTACAAGCGTTAGGGCTGCCTGCTGTTGAGGATGTGGGAAGAGCCCAGGTAGAACGACAAGGGCACCGCGCTTTAGGTTGACTCCGTGCACGCAGTTTGCCATCACAGCCTGTAATTTATGTACATTCCTTTCCCTCAAATTCCAGCACAAATATAAGTTTGAATAATATCGTGCATATATAGCACTTCAACATTTCCAGTAAAAAAAAGAATCTTGACAACAGACTTTTTTTTTTTCTCCAAACACTGATGCGTTATACAGACTCAAGCTGTGTAAATATACTACCATACCAAAATGTTTTAGAGCTTTCAGCAGAGTGATGTTCCTCAAGGGTAAAAACATGTTAGAGGAAGCTGAACTGAGGTGAGACTGCTAGTAATACCACAAGAAAAACGCATCCAAAGAAGCTGTGTATGGAATTATTGACTACCAAGATAAGGTTCATCTATACTGGTAACTTAATGTGAAGACAGCTAGTATGATATTAAGTATGCAGACCTCACTGGAATTAGGCAGACAGATGCTTTTTAAAATATGTGAACTAGCTCTTCATAACAGCATGGTTTCAAAGTAGTTTTGTTTCTTATTGTGGAGGGAGCCTTCCTTCCTTAAAAGTACACTACCTGGTTCATCTAAGACATCTACTTAGTCCAATTGTAATTAAGCATAATTGATAGCGACTTCCCAGAGGACAAAGTCACATGTATCAGAAGGCTGGCTGCTGTGCTCCAGCCCAACAGATCTCCCAAGCGAGTTCCCACGCAGTGTGTGCTCAGGAAAACTTGTAATAGATAGCAAATGCTGTAGCTTGAATAGTGACGCGATTTTTGCCTAATGAAATAATGCTTTATATTCAAGCAGTTATACACAGAATCGAGATTATAAAACCCAAAATGCTGCCAGAGTTTTTCATTCAGTGTCTCACTGCAACATTGCTTCATAATTTGTTTGGAAGGAGGGAGGCCAAGGGGTGCCTCCAAGCAACACGTACCTGCACGATTTCCAGCATCTCTGACTTGCTGATGTAGCCGTTCCCGTCGAGGTCGTACATGCTGAAAGCCCACTTCAGCTTTTGCTCCAGTTTACCTCTTGACGTTACGCTCAAGGCTATGATGAATTCTCTGAAATCTATTGTCCCATCTCCGTTGGCGTCAAAAGTACGGAATACGTGTTCCGCAAACTTAGAAGCGTCCCCATAAGGGAAGAAGTTCCCATATATTTTTTTAAACTCCTCCATAGATAAATGTCCACTTGGACAGTCTCTCAAGAAGCCTTTGTACCACTCCTGGATCTCATGTTCCGTAAAGTCTGTACTTTCTAGCAAATCTTGCATGACTTCAGGGCGTAGTTTGCTGTTTTGCTTTCCCATATTGGTGTCAAAATACTACCTGCAGAGGAAAAGCAAACACATATGAATTATTATTATTAAATGTTATTATTAATAATTGTTACCTTGTTGGCTGTAGAGGAACAGTATGTTGGATTCCGAGCTTTCTCATCATAGTTGTCTCCTGGGAACAATTGAAACTTTGGGCAGCGTCTGCTACTATGAGTACACTGTGAAAAAATAAACAAGCCTCATCTATGTGTTGATTACAATTGTTTTTTTCACAATGTGGAGAACTGTAATTATGTTGAACTTATTGCCAACCTTCTTTGCCTTTCAAATCACAAGATAAGCAATAGATGCTGCAAGGTGTAGCTGATCGGTCGCTGTGTGTTGCAGCACACCCTAAATCCCAGTCAGCCAGATATCTCAAGGGCCTGAATGAGATACATATTTTTGTACCTCTGCTGGAAACCAGGTTGCTACAAGGGACTATGTTCACTTGGTTTTCCTCCAAAATGGGACCAAGGTGCATCTGCAGTGGCCACAGAAACCAGGAGCTCCAAAGCCCTTTTAGATATGTCTTTGTAGCCAAAATCAAAAAGCGCAACCCAGAAGTTGCCTCTCTTGTTTGGCATGGACCAATTCCTATTTTAGTTCAAATTATAGGTAAAATCTGAAAGGATTTTATCAGTGGTGGATTATCCTACACTAAACTGTCACTGTAGTTTTTAATTCTCCTTGTAGCCAGAAATTTGATCTATTACAAAGTAATAGTAATCTAGGTGGTCACAGCTCCTGGCAAAAAAAATCTCTTTAAAAAAAAAAAGGAAGAGGAAAAAAAAGTACCCAGGCAACACAACTGGAAATTAGTTTTCCCTAAATTAACCATTAAGAAATATTATTTGATACAACTTGTGTTAAATCACCTTAATTATATTTTATTTAAGGCAAGTTGCTGCATATCACATTGTGCAGCAGATTTACTAATGACTGATGGCCTTTAGCTTTTAACTTTTGGAATGTGTTGACTCCAAAAGGCAACATCATCAGTTTTACTGGAAGTTTGGCATTAAAGCCAAATTGTGGGGAGCTATTCTCTATTGACAGAAATCTGCCTGAGAATTTGTCATGAGAATGACAGTCACAGCTAAAATCTGATATGTGAATAACCTAAGCAGATTTGCAAAATCATTTATACAAGACTTACATGCTGTTATCAGAAAGGAGTCTCTGGACAACAGAGACAGATTTACGAACGATGTCTGAAGTGGCTAATGAGCACTGATTAAAATGTCCTTTTTAGACCAAGGTAATACTTTAAAAAAATGAAGAATAATGCAGTATCATCACATGTCAGAAGCTGCTAGTGAGAAGCTAATCTACTGTTTCTGCTATTTGGTACTGGGAAGAAGAAACTGAGGATCCCTGGGGCTGATGTTAATTGTTTCCTGTGGCGAGAAACTCTTTTTCCACAAGGTGAATTTGAACTCCCTGAGGTTCTAACTCCTTATTCTCCTGTGTTCTCAGACCAAAATGATCAAAAAGCTTTATCACCCAAGGGTAAAATGGTGTGATCCATCCTAAATCCGTCTGTGTCTCCACAGGATCCACTGATGGCTTTCTGATAACTAGATGTCGAGTCTAAACTTGTTGCCTGTACAGCTGATGGAGAATAGGCTCCCTGTTCAGAGAGAGGAGGCTGAAAGGGGTGAGGAGTCCTGCCCACTGGGAGCCTGTCCATCTTCTGACCATTTCAGGGACCTGGGTGACTACCTTGATCCAGCTCACTGTGGGGGGGGCTGGACTAGGTGACCTTTAAAGGTCCCTTCTAACCACAGTGTTCTATGATTCTATCAAAATTGTGTCTTTTTCTCCAAAGTGTCCCCAAAGCACTTGGAAAGTGGAAGATGCCACCTCAAAGGTAATTTTTTTCTATAGCTTTTCCTCCTTCCATCCCAGTCAAAACATATAGCACAGTTTTTAAGGAACCCATTCTCTTAATACTCTGAAAATAAACGAAATAGTCCCTGTTTTATAGGTCCAGTCCAACAGCTGTTGAGGCAGCTGAAGGTTGTGATGCCTTCAATGGGTGTTGGATGGGATCCATAATAAACAACCTGGGAATTAGCTGAGTGAAAGGATTACATTAGGGCAGCCGGACGGGCTTATGTCAGGCAAAACAACATGAGCAGGGTCTGCCAGCAGCATGAAAAAGCAACTGGACAAGTGAAGTGGCCAGGCTCAGTTTAGAGCGGCACAGGTTTAATAAAAAAACAAACCAATAAAATCCCCAGAGCAGGTAGCAGCTACCCACACTCACAGTTGGCAGCTACTCTGTGGCCCCAGGGGCTGCACAGCTTTCAGATCAGTAGAGTAGAAAGGGAAGATCTCTGGCAAATGAGCAAGCCAGCTGCAGTAGGAGTGAGGTGACATCAGCAATAAAATCCCTTGCTGCTTTTTAATTTTGCAGATATTTGAAAAGGCAAAACTCAGCTTGCACACTTCCAGTCTGGAGTCTTTTGGAAAATAAAATAGTGAGGTAACGTGCAAGCAGTGGCCTTTAAGAGGTAGCCAATAAGAATGTGTTTCAATCCAAGAAATTATACCTTATGCACATGACTGCAAGGTGCAACATATTTTTACCAAATAATAAAAAATACAGAATAGTAGAATGCTATGCATTGCATTTGTAGGAGAAAAACATCACCACCAGAAACCCCAATGTTCTCCAGGCACAAAGGGAGAGCTAACCATATGTGACTTGCAGTAAAGGGTTGAAATTCACAGCCGCTGTGAAGCCGGGCAGCGCAGTCAAAACCAGTAGGATTATTTCTGAGTCCACTTCTGATGAATTTGTATCATGTTCTTTGCCCTCCAGATTGTTCTGTATTAATAGGTGGTGTTCTAGGAACTGTAGTGATGGGATTTATTGTGCCCATTCTTTCAGCAACAGATCAAAATGCTTTTGCAGTCCAAGTACAGAAAATCCTTGAAGACACTTTAAGATCCTTATAATCACTTCATACGCTGCTGCCTGCCTCTTCAGGATAGATGAGATTATGGGCAGAGTACAGGGAGCTAAGAGAAAGTCAGCTAACAATGACAGCAATAAACACACAGAACGAAATAAAGCTGGTCTGATTTTAGGCATTTTTCCACACTGTGAAACTTTCAAATTTCTGTTAAACAGTTAAATGTTAAAAATACAACAGGTAAACAGTGAACGCAATCACAGTGGTAAAGGAAAATATTGACAATACTGAGAAATAAACATTGTAGGTGTATAAAACAAAGATAAATTAAGCATCTAATGATTATGTTTAGTTGCATTTCTACAATTTCTTCCTCTGATACAATGTTGTCACACATCACAAATGAATGACTTCCAATATGGGACAACATGACATACAAAAATATGAAGGACTTAGTTCTGAAGGCTATGTTGTTTGGTAAAAGAGTGCAATGTGTTTGTGGCTTGAAGGGTTGCTTCCATTTCAGGCAACAACTACAGAAGATGAAAAAGGAAAGAATTTCTGCTGTGTGGTTGCTATGGAAAGAATCTCTGTTCACCAGTTATTGTAGGAAATGTCAGAGCACTGCTCCAAGAAGTGAGTAGTTAGAGCACCTAATCAGGTGCAGGTGCTGAGTTTTTAAGATAAAACTGAAGACAGAGCTGTCTGACAAACAGGCTGTGACAACCCAGCATATAAGAGATTAAATAAATGAGGTAGTGACCCCACACCGACCGACTTTCCCTGCAGTGCAGTATATTGTGTGCAGACAGGACACTGAAGCTGTTACAGCCTGCTCCTCGAATGGGGAGAACTGACTGGACAGAAAGGCAATGAACATTGATTCTATTAGGTGTCTCTTGTCAGCAGTTTGCTGCTGCTCACATACAGTTGTTACCTTGATCTGAAACCTCTGGGTAAGACAAACGCGTTGCCTGCTTAAGCAACAGCCTCACAGTTGCTGTGAAGCTGCAGCAGCCAAGCACATGCAGCGAACCCATCACTGTGTGAATGCAATGCACACCTTTAAACATACTTCCTTAAAAGAAATAAAATTTCTTTTTTTCTGTTGAGGGTTCATTATAACAAGCAAGTGCTAGCAACACACTTCTAACAATGCTCTTGCTCTTCAAATTCGACACCTGTCATATAAAGATAACCCTATTTTATTTATTTTTCTTAATTGAACTCAGTCTTCCAAAGACAACAAGACACCATAACTTTGATTGAGGCTTAAATCTGAAGGAAAATCCAGTGCTGAGAAAAATTATGAGTCAGGGACATATATAAGGGATCTGCTGCTCTAAAAATGGAGAGTTTAGAATATTATCAGAGCTAACAGGGTACAAAACACCTGAAAGGTGTAAAGAATCAGTCTGAAGACAAGTCCTGCCTGACATACTTCCAGCAGGGACAATAAGGCAAACCACACCATAGCCATGGCTACAGAGACTAAAGATAATGGCAGGTAAGTTTTCAGAAAGAAGAAATGAAAGCTCCATTTTCTTATTTCAGTGTTATTCCACAATTTAAAATAAGAAAGCACTAGATAACAAAACATGAGCTTTAGAGAACAATCTTTCAGTGGCAGAGAGATGACACTGGACAATGCAGGAAGCCTTTAACACAGCTCATTTATACAGTCCTAAAGTCAGAGGATGCACACAGAGGTGTGGGGCATGGATGGAGAAAGTTTCAGTAACACACTGATAAAGTGAGGATGCTTCTCCAGCATAGCTGAGAGACAGCTGGATCATGGACACACCAGTACCAGCTTATCTGACTCGTAGTATAGCTATGTAATATTACAGAAAACAGGCATGAACCACCTTGTTATTGTTTGCCTCAGAAACTGCTGTTTCTTGATTTCTTACACACAGAGTCTGACCTGTTTCCAAGAAATAATCCACTTTCCGGGTCAATGCTGTTTTTGACATTTCTAACACATAATTTGAGAGTTTCCTTGAGACTAGCAATTGTGGGATTTCAACTTCTGCCAAGCAGCTGAAGAAGTTCCTGGTGACCACTGGAATGAACCAAAGGCTGAGCAGGACAACA